CTTACATAGAAACTTTAAATGTTTAGATCTCAATGAGAAATTAAGGAAAGCCACAAATATCACCAAAGGTCAGTTGTGAACGAAACATTTAACTTAGCGACAATATTGTTCTTTCTTTTTTACCTTTCTTTTTTATGTGTCTCTCTCATTATTTGTGTGTGTGTATGTGTGTGTGTATGTGTGTGAGTGTGTGAGTGTGTGTGTGTGTATGTGTGTGTGTGTGTGTGTGTGTGAGAGAGAGAGAGAGAGAGAGAGAGAGAGAGAGAGAGAGAGAGAAAAAGAGGGTGTGTGTATTTTGGGGGCATGGGGGTGAGTGTAGATGTCTGTTTCGTAATCTGAAATGGTCAAATAATTTATAAATGTTCAGAATACATATTGTTATGCGTAGACATCAACTGATCCCTGTCAATCTGTCTTGCTCTCCTTCTTTTCCATCAGACAAATGCCGCGATAGAGAAGGAGTATAGAAACCCAACAAAATATCGATTCCCACGCTGAAATAGCAATTCATCAAACGAAGCTCCCCCATCTCACGGAAATGAAAGTCAAGTCAGACGGAAATTTTTAGGACTAACAACAGTCACTCTGTTTGCCAACTTACCAAAGCGCCGGCTATTTGCTTAGCCAAGCAGAGAGAAACTGGACGTAAAAGCTGTTCAAAGAAGTCTGTCGCTTGTTTTTCTGCGAGGAAGTCTCACTTGGTTGTGGACAAAAGACTCACAGAAAACCCGTGTATGTACCAAAACAGGTTGTTTTGTTGCTTTTTTTCCCGCCGGAAAAGCCCCGTGTTCCCAATTTCTACGTATGATGTACTCATGTATTTGATCCAAAAACATTTCGAAATAGACCTCACTTTTGTTTTAAACGTCTCACTATTGTTTGTTTTTAAGGGTCACAAAAATCAATTGATTTGTTTAAAATCAGTTTTGTTCCTAGGTTTTTGTCCAAAATCACAAATATCTGCTCCGATTTATTTATGTGATTGGAAGCTTTAAGAACCGTTTACAAATAAGACTGAGAATGAAGACCTTTGACTTAGCAATCTTTGATGTATAAATCCCCTACTGTAGAGATCTCATTAATTCCGTATTTACACGATTTGACAGGAAGCCTGCAAGTACATGGGAGGAATGGGAGGAGAGAATTCATCACGTTGATTCTTGGGAAGCCCAAACTGGCTTTAGATCTATAAACACAAGACATGCTTGGAACTTGGCGAATCAAACGGTAAAGTTCACCTCGTAAAACTATAACGACAGACATAACACCTCCCTCCCCTCCCATGTCAATGCCAAAATGCTGCGGACATGAAATTAAAACATAAACATCGAGGGTATTTCCATTTATTCGGAAACAAGAAACTTTTTTCTATAGAAAGAAACGTAATAAAATTATTGGTAGATCAGCCATGAAGTTAAAAATAAACCCAGAAATTCTCTCATACAAGAACAACGAACGCGTTTGATTTAATTACTGTGAATTGAACAAAAATATAATTACCATGATAAAAATGAAAAGAATTAGATTAATAACCTCAATAAAAATCACATAAAGCAGTTCTTGGGCTTCAGTTAGCAGATTACAATGTAGAATCATCAAAAAATATATATGAAGTATGAGCTTTTAAACTTAATGATTTAGACATGTGAATGTATGTAAGGTTTTATGTTTCTGTTAATAAAGTTGAGTTATGGGGCATAACTTTTTTAAAAAAAACTAATTTTCAACGATGGGCTTGTTAATTTACTCAGACAATCGTTAAACATTTTTTTTAAATTAGAGACTGAAGCTTTCAATTCCATTTTTCGCTATTTTTGTTTTACATCTTTTGAGGGTTGGTATAACAGGCTTTTGTCTTCACATCCATTTCAGAAATATTCTGAACATACCACCGAATCTTCAGGCGCTCCTTGAAGTCTACACTTTTACTCATGAGACGAATCTATTTCTATCAAGACAATAGTATGGGCAAGGCATCTAGAAAATCAAAAGAGCAGATGGATTGGTTAGGTTAGGTTGGTGAAAGGGATGCACTAATATGCAATGTTCCTCTTAAAGGAAAAGTAAGCAATGTGCATACCAGCATGCAGATTGATTAAACCTTTTTTGTTCTTTTCAGGGATGGATTTGCATTTGCCAGCTAATTTCACACAGATTCGAATGATTCGATTGTTTAGTTAACACCCCCTTTCTATGTCTAGACATTATTTTATGGTTGGAGCTTGCAATAGGCAGCTCCAATTTCATTTCTTAGCTTTTCCTCTACTGTTTTTTATAACATTGCTGTGTTTTTCTTAATGTTTTGTTTTGTTTTCTTGCTTTCAATCTCTCTATCTTGCAGACGTGTCTTTCTTTCTTTACAGAATAGCCAAAGCTCTACACTGGGCAGACAGCAAGCTCTACTTTTTTTCTGAAGTGCTTTGATTACCTAGATCCACACAAATTGAAAACATTTGTTTATTTTCTCATTCAAGCTAGAATGATTAGTCCATGCTTTCTGGAAAATGCCATCGACTGAAAGGAATGATTATTGCTAGGCAACGACATTTTACTTAAGGAGTACCTACGTCCTGTGCCGGTATCATTTGTGACGAAAAACGGAACGTTTTCTCACCTTCATACTTTGCTTCAAGAGTTACATGAGAAGAATTATCAGAACTATCACAGACAAGATATTGGTAGAGATTTACTGGACTACTGTTTATGGACAAGGACTTGTCCTGGTGTTGTTTAAAGGCAGTATCTAACTAGAATTACAGAGTATGTCTTTTAAAAAATCTGCAAAAAATGACATAATATTATTAAAATGTAAGTGCGGAATTTGGCTCTAACTTGAACCTGCCTGAGAGTGACGCAGAGTGACGTAACAGATACTCAAAGTGCTGACAACGTGATGACCCCCTTCGTGAATTACGACCAGCCAGCCATCTTCCAAATACATTCGATACTGAACTCGTAGCAGCGTGAAACGATTATCACGCCTTAGTGCGAGTGAGGTCAGATTACAACTCGATACGCATTCGGGATATTTTTACGATATTGAAGTGCACTCCGCTGTGCATTACGAAGCTGGTCCTTGGCAATTTCTTAATTATAACCAAAAACGCCAGGCCAGTGACGGTTTTCGTCCAGAGCATGCTATGTGTTGTATGTACTGTTAGGGATCCCGGTTCAATCTGTCGGAAGTTTTATTCGGAAACAGTCATACTTTTTGGCTGGTGGGCACTTTTAGCTGGTTCTACTCTTTGGGGTCCCGGTTCAGTAGTAAGCTTTTTTCCGAAATTCGGAAACAGTCATATTTTTAGGGGCTGGTGGGTACCTTTAGCTGGTTCCACGCAAGAGAATAAGGTTGTGTTAAAACATTGGGTTCGCATCAAGCTGCGGATGTATCAACTCGTCGAGAATATCTGGCCAGTCTCGTTTCTTTCTACACTCCCATCGACACAATTTAGGTTTTTACGGGACGGGTTTTGACTCTGCCTGTCAAGGCTAACCTGGGCTGTGAAGGACACACCATCCCCCCAGAAAGACTGAGATACACCAAAACTCAACACCATAGAAGCCTTGTGCTATTTTGTGAAATATATATACCGTTCCGGTCTTTATGTAATCACCTAAATCCTGTGCTGGTATCATTTGTGATCACTTTGAAGCACTTAACTCCAGTCTGCAAAAGCGGGACTTAGTTCAACGCTTAAAAATTATTACAGAAAATGGACTTTAACCATAATACACTTTGGCTCTAATGAATGAATTTTCGAAAGACTTAACACTGTGACGAAAAGACCATAAACAGTCGGAAGCTGTACAATTTGGCACAAGCCAATAACATGAACGGCATCTTCGCTGAGAGAAAAGACAAAGTACGTGAAATAATGAGATCGTATGAATCATCCAAAAAATTGCAACACAATAAAGACATAACAAGAGGAATCTGTTTGACTTTTCGCGAACTTTTCAAAACCCTTTTTTTGTATTTTAGAAAATCGATGTCCCAATTATTCCAAAATAGCATTTCTCAAAAACGTACTACTGAATTTTTCTCATGATAATATTACTGGTTTCCTCTTTGCTAAGTAGATAGATCTTCACTGGAGAGAGTATTTAAACAACTAGCATTACCAAAAGAAAACAACAACTTAATTTTTAGATTTGTACATCTTTTCATTTTTAACATTTCCTGTCTTTCTGTCTTTCTTTTCATGTTTCTTTCAGTCTTTCTTCACTACTTATTTATTTACTCATTTTCTTTTTTCTTTTCTCTTTCCCCTTTTTTTCAAGGGAGGGGGGAGGGGGGAGGGCTTGCAATGTCCACTCAGTGGTAGCACGTCTCAGAACAATATCAACGAAATTAACGGTACTCTCAGACAAATGAATGAATAAATGAAGCGGTGATGAAGTAATTGCTCAAGCACGTGTTACAGTACTAGATTGCTGTTCAGACCTGGTACATTTTAATGACATTCTCGGAAGAGAAAAGGTGTAAAACAATGCGCCCCTATCATCAAAGAAAGACCAATTCCTCTATCTCATTTTCAAAATTTGGTTAGAGATTGTTGGCCCTAGCAACTGCATAATGGTCGTAATAATATTATTATGAGCGCGTGGAGCTCAAGCAAGTTGTTTTCTCGACAGTTCATAGCACGGCTTGCTTTTACTTCGCAAAGTCGAAATGGTTGAAATATCTAAAAATAAATACAATTACTCGGAGTGCGTCTTCTCCCTTGCCCTTTTGTTTAGTCCCCTGTCTACTTTATTCCCCGGTCAGGGAGACCCGGAGAGACCATTTTAACATTCATCTCCACGGTCGCCAGCAATCGGCGTTTATTGATGAGTCGGAACAAGGGACCCTCGATGCATGGAGGCAGACGGAAATTGGCGTGTCTGACACCAGGAAGCGGGGTATCGATGGCTCTAATCGATATTTTATCACAAAGGTCGTTTTATGGGCCGGTCCGGAGAGTGGATAAGTGAACAGATGGAGAAAACTGTTGCGTCACCTCGTCTGTTTGTCTGATCGCTGAAAGCGCTTTGGACGCTAAAACAGTCTCTTCGGAATAATAGAACTTTCGTATTTGCGCCCCTCGACGTCTTGATGAGGAGATTGGAATGGACTTTTTGTTGTGAAGTAGCTTAGATCATCTGTCCGTGCGCAATACGTCCGGCTGAAGGGTAGTTCTGTTTTAAGAAAGAGAGGGGGCAAGGGGGAGAGTAGAGGAAGGG